CCTAGCTGGGGCTTGGAGAGATAGCTCAGTTGGTAAAATGTTTGCCTACCAGGGAAGGGCTTGGTTGGACCCCCTTTACCGCATAAACTGAGTGTGGTGATGCATAGCCATAACCCCAGGCTGGGAAAGAGGAAACACAGGAGCCGGGAGTTCACGGCGATCCTACAGTACACAGCCAGTTTAGGCCGGACTGGGTACCAGTCTCAAAAAAAAAAAGTCAGTTTTAAAGTATCAGCCTGTCAAAATTACCCTTGACAAATCCTTTGAATTGCCCAAAATGTACAGCCCACATTTTCTGGAATGACTTACTGCATGTTCTGTTGTAACTGCCACCCACTGGGCTTGATTGAAACCAGAGTGTTCCCACGTGTGACTGGAGGTTATACTTATGGCGCTTTGGGGACCCAGAAGAAAAAGATGAGCAGTGGATTCAGCAGTGTCCATTTGTCTCGAGGGTTCGTTCTCTTTTATTCTAGTAATGAGCCCTCTGCAGCTTTCAGAAACACAAATGCATTTGTCTGCCGTGGCAAAGAATGCAAGGTATGTGAAAACACTGAGAAGATTCATAACACAGCAGGTGTTCACTAATTTTGAATGTGTAGGTTGCCTGATTGGGGTCAATCTTATCGCGGAGTCTAGAAACAAAGCTGGTTAAACTGATAACCGTTATGGACTGAACTGTGTTCCCTAAACTTCCTGCAGCATAACTGTCAGTGCCTCAGAGCCTGGCCTCAAACAACTGCAGACATACTGACTTAGTAAGTCATTAGGGATGACCTTAAGCCAATGTGTTGGTATTCTTTATAAAACAGAGGAATTTAGAGGGACACATACATGGCCATGGAGATAGACATGGAGGCAGTTCTTCTGACAGCCAAACATGGCCTATAAAGTCCCTATCCCTTAGGCAAACAATCGGGAGAAACAAGCAGGCCTGCCCATGCCTTGATCTCAGGAGTGAGATGATACATCTTTATTGTTTAGGCCACACCAGGCCAATAAACTGCTATGGAGGACCTGGCACACTCCTCCACCAAACAAGCTTAGAAAGTTGCTTGTATCACACCCAAGTTCCTGGGCAATAGTCTTGTGACACTAAGACTTAGAGCTGCTCTCGACCTGTGGGCCATGACCCCTTTGGGGGTCAGATGACCCTTTCAAAGGGACCGCCTAAGACCATCAGAAAGCATAGATATTTATTCGCATTATGATTCATAACAGTAGCAAAATTAGTTAGGCAGTAGTAAGGAAAATAACGTTATGCTTGGGGTCCCCACAGCATGAGGAGCTGTATTAAAGGATTGCAGCATTAGGGAAGTTGAGAACCACTGCAAGTCAACTGAGACTTGGGAGATGGACGTGTCGCATTAGTGTGTTGTGGCCTCCATATTCCCAGTCAGACGTATCTCCTTAGCATCCACATATTTCAAAAGAAATTAGGAAACAGCAATGGGGAAAGGAAAATGGTGAATCCATGCATACTTTCGTCAAACTGCCTGCCTGTGGCCGTTTTACAGTTTATAGGAAACCATGGGACAAAAAGACCAGATGATGTGTCAGCTGAGCTGTGAGACAACGTCCTTGGTCCTTTCCTGGGGGAAGGCCACTCACCTTGACTGCCTCTATTCTCAGCATGGAGGGTGAGTTATGATTTTATTTTGACACATGTCCTCACGTGGCCCACAGTGGCCTTGAACTCACTGGGTAGCGAAGATGACCTGATGATCCTGTCTCCACATGTCATACTCGGGTTACGGGTGTGAGCCACCACATGTGGGTTATAGTTACAGGAAATGGAACCCAGGGCCTTATGCATAGTTGGCAAGCACTCTAACTGAACATGCCCAGCTGTATATTTTTATAGGTTATGCCTTGCAGAGACCATGTCTTATTCAAGAATGGGCTTGAATCAAGAATGGGAGAGGTGATACTCTAGGTCACAGAGCCACGACTTTTGAAAACCCGCCTCAGGGGTTTCCTGGGATGGTGGGTGAAAGATGTCCACTGTGCAAAGACCAGCTACCCCCTTTGATTGGGGAAAGCCTTTTTATCTTTCCTTGGTGGTCAGCTTTGAGCTCTAACTGCTTCATGTCCACTAACCAAGCTAATTAGGGTAAGGGGATGGAATAATGGTCTCCGATAGGCAAAGGGAAGAGACGGTGTCTCTTAGGATTTAGAATATCTCATGTTTCCAATATGGGACACTGCAACACATTCACTCTTCCAGAAAGGAATAAACCAACAAAACAAAGAGACCACAAAGGGGTGGGTAACGAAACGTACACCCTGCTCCACAGACTACAGGGAGACTATCATCCATTTTAAAGGACTACACATGACACGGACAAAAAACATACAGGATGTTAACACCCCTTTAGGGTAACAGCCTAGCACTAAACCCTACATGTGTGAGGGCTATATCAGAACCTTTAAGTTTGCTGCCCTAGGACTCCGTGGGCAAACAATGGCATTAAGGTGACAGACCAGGAAAAGCAAAATTCAACAGTAAATGTTCTATATCATTTATGTCAATCACATACACAGGCTTATGATTTGGATATGTCTCCTATAGTTCACGAGTTACAAATGTTATCCCAGCAGAAGGGATATGTAACAGGAAGTGTGGGGGTCGTAGGGCATTGCTTCCATGACAATGGATTCAAGTCCTGAAAGCGGGTTAGCTGCTTTGAGAGGATGGGTTAAGCTGGGCAGCCATGCCTCCTTGAGTGCGGCCTCAGTCTCCTCACTGTGATATCCTGAAGCAGGCAGGCAGGCTCTGGTGGATGTCAGTCCCGTCACTGGGCTTCACATATTTCAGAAACGTGAACCTATGCTCTCTGCTCATTGTAAACGACCCACATTAGGTACTTTGGTATAGCAGTGACAGTGACAAAGAATAAGGGTTGGGCTTGGAGAGATGGCTCAGTGGTTTGGTAAGAGCTCTCCCTGCTCTAGAAGTTCAGTTCCCAGTACCTTGTTAGGTGGTTCACCACCACCTATAACTACAACTTCCAGGGAGTGGACACCCTCTTTTGGTCTCCATAGGCACATATACACACAGACCATACATTCACACATAAAAAAATAAAAATGAATCTTTAGGGGGGAAAGAGAGTGAAGCTAAATGGAGTGAAGGCTAAAAACCCTTGAGGGAATGGCCTCCATCAGAGGAGTGGTCACGGCTCTGCATGCTCCCCCATGTAATAACTCTCATCCATGGAACTTTTGTCAGACAGCGGCCAATCAGAAAGCAGCAACTGTGCCAGGTGGGGTGGTACACACCTTTAATCCCAGCACTCCGAAGGCAGATAGATGCCTAAGTTCAAGACCAGCCTGGACTACAGAGTGGGACAGCTAGGGATACATGGAGAAGCCCTGTCTTGAGGGGGGAAAAGCAGAGATAACAAAAGGAAGCAGCAGCTGAAAGACTTTAGTTTCAGACACACTCTTGTCGCCACTTCAGTGCGACCTCTGATGGCCCTCAGACGTCTCTGACCTCAGTTTTGTCTTTAGGAACAAGAGAAAGGTTCTCTAGACCAAAATCAAGAGTCCCGTCTTAAAGCCTCATTCAGACAGTAAGCATTGGCTCGGCTGCCGTTTTTTTTCAAGTAAGAGGCCCTGCTGAATGTTTCATGTGAATTTTTCTAAACTAGAAAAAATACTGCCTTGGTGTTTTGTTTGTCCAAAGAGATTCTGGCCCTTATTTAAATGGAACAGACATTGTCTCACACATAGGAAACGGAACATTTACCCAATACAAAGCCCTCATAATTGTAAGCTACACGTGCATATTCGCAGGAGTTTAGTGGTTTTATAAAACTAGCAGGGGACAGCAATGACTCAATCTGATGATTCCAATGCTTGGGAGGCTGAGGCAGGAGGATCACTGCAACTCAAGGCCAGCCTGGACAACACAGTGAGGCCTGTTTCAAAAGAAGCCACAATGAATGAGAAGGTAAACACAGGGGTCGCCTTTCTCTGTCTATTCATCCCCAAAATAAGTGACAACAGTACACGCTCAGCTCAGGGCAGTCAGACTCCAGTTCCCAGCACCAGAAAACAAGAGGGAGAGAGCTCCCTGCTCTGAAATATCTATGGGCCAGCGTTAACAGAAAGATCAGTTATATATTCATATATATATGTGTGTGTATATATATATGATTTCATTCTTTTATTTTGTATGAGTATATGTGTGCCATATACATATATGCATATATGATTTACTGACTATTTTGTGTCTATAAGTGTGTACGTGTGTGTGTCTGCACCATGTGTATGCCTGGTACCTGCAGAGGTCAGAAGTGAGTGTTGCATCCCCGGAACTGAAGATCGACCATGTGGGTGCTGGGAACCAAACCGGTCTTGTGCTCTAACCATTGAACCATCTCTTCAGGCCCAGAAAATCAATTTTTAAAGTATGCACTTTGCATTTCTAAAACCAATACCAATTGTGAACATCACACCTGTCTCTAAAATGAATGTCTCCCCGCCCGGGTTTGTCTCTAGAGTACAGTACAGATAAAGCAAAGGGGGTCTGCACACCTTTGGGGGCTGACGAGAGATCTCAACAGTTAAGAGCAACTGCCCAGGTTCAGTTCCCAACACCAGCATGGCAGCTCACACTCGTCTGTCACTCTGGTTCCGGGAACTCTGGCGCCCTCTTATGGGCTCCTCAGCCACTGCATGAGCATGATACATGTACATAAACTAAAAATAAATCTTTAAAGAAAGCAAATAGATAAAATAAAAGTATCACACAGTACTATTTTAGGTAACTTCTTTTAAAAAGAAAACTTTATTATTGTACTGGCTAGTTGTATGTCAACTTGACATAAGCTAGAGTCAGAGAGAGGAGAGAACCTGAATTGAGAAAATGCTTCTATAAGACCTGGCTGTAAGCAAGCCTGTAAGCCATTTCTTAAATGGTGATTGATAGAGGAGGGCCCAGCCCATTGTGATGGGGCCATATCAGCTGGTTTAGATCAAAAACAGAGTGATGCTAATTTTTTTATTGATGGTTTATTCAAAAGCTTCAAAAAGAAAACTTTCTTTCATTGCTGAGAAGAAAACAAACTCTGCATATGTTATCTAAGCTTTGACTGTGATGGAAATATTGGTAAATTTCTCATCTATTATACAAATCAGGTACGTATAAAACTGTGACTCAAATTCAGTGGTTTACAGAAATGCTAACATATGCCATGGCAGATCCTCAGAGCCGAAGGTGACGCCATCATGCACGACACAAAAGCAGCCCCACATCTTGTTGCTTCTGTCCAGAAGGGAGATGTGGCTGTTGCTCTCTGTATGCAGGTGCACGCAGCCGAGGCGCAAGCTGAAAAGCAGGCGTCATCTGCGTTTTGACTAAATGACAAACACCTGTACATAGACAGGCTCTCTTCCCTTTTCACCTGGAATGAAAAAAAAACAGCCTTCATTCTCCCCCAACAGACTAGGGACCGCTTTTCTTTTTAAACGTGAGCTAACTGTAACCATTCCCTGTGGATTTCAGACCTGGCTCTGCTGAGATCAGGGCATTTTGTTTCAACATTGTGTCTCTTCCTGTAAACTATTTCCCTAAGCACACTGGCAGACTGCCCTGCCATGCTTTATTGATAAGAGCTAGGCATCCGGATTATTAGCAGAGCGTAAATCGCAGCCAAGTGAAGCGCTACCCAGGTCCAAGACCCCACAACCCATCCCGCACAGCCCTGTGCCATGGAGTAGGTACTTAACACCCACTCAGCTAACAAACAGCACCAGCGTCCCCGGTGGGTATGCATTAGCAAATCTTGAATTGTGGTGAGTGAGGGCAAGTCACTCAACCTCTGGAGTTGGCCTTGTCCTACAAACGCCCTGCACTTGACAACCGGCAGTTCTCTGTGCAGAGTCCTGGTGGCCCAGAGGTACAACAGAGGTCTGCCCCGCTTCCTTGAGGTTGTCTCAGCCACCAGCTCATTTCATGTCAGTCAAGAATGAGGTAATAGACGTCTTTGTAAGTCACAATCCCCATTGTGCCTGCATAGGTGAGATGCAGGACCCTGGGCCACAAGCCACCTATCGCTCCTGGGTGAGAGGTTCATCCTCTCTGGGTTTAAAGCCAGTGTGGTTGGTGACATTCTGATTTGACAATCATGCTTTCTAATACTAGCTCATTTATCCAAACACTTGAGAATAGGTTAGCAACAGAGTTAACCAGGCATGAGGACCTACCTTCGAGTCCTAGCAACTACACACAAGACAGGTGTGTTGGCACACACTTGTACTCCTTGTACTGGAAAGGAAGAGGCACATGGATCCCAAGAGTTTGTTGGCCAGACAGTTTAATCAATCTGTGAACTCTGAGACTCTGAGAAGTCAAACTCTGGCCTACAAATACATACATACACATACACACACACACACACACACACACACACACACACACACACACAAGAAACATGCTGGCTCAGTACCTAGCTCTGCTTTTGAAATGGCATTCTTAAGAAATAATTCTAACAATCAATACATATTCACTCCATGCCACAGTTAGCACCCTGGGATGTGTCTTAGTTTTTAAACACAGCTGTCCATCTTCTGTCTACACTGCTGACAAAGCTCTGACTACTTAAGGGGAAAAGAGAAGCCGTTTGCTGTGAGAATGCACAAACTGTGCATCTTTCCTGTCGCCTTGAAGTCTGGAAGAAATGAGGTCCTGAGGAGGACCAGCTAGCTAATTGCAGCATACCAGTTATTTCCAGTCCTGAGAGAAGATAAGCATGCGGCCTGACAGTGCTTCTCTGTGTTCTGTGGTTTCCCTGACCACTACCCCCTTCCTAACATCTCCTCATAAAAATGCCTCCGTCAGAGGATAAAGAGAACAGAGCGTCTGAGTAAAGGCAAGAGATTACAATGAAAACGTCATTCATCTCCAACTTCTGAGATCTGGTGCACTTTGGCTAAGAAGGGGGAGCAGTGCCGAGAGTCGATTGAGGGAATAGACTTCAAGCAGTTCCCACCCACAGAAGCACAGTTCTCAGGCCCCCTTCCTCTGTCTCCTTCTCTCTCCTCCCTCCCCCACCCTAACCTGACAAACAAAGGAAATGCCGATCCTGGGCTGAAAGGACGCAGGGCTGCACAGGTGCCTGTCCTGACAGGGGTGGAGGCACCCAGAGTGCATGGGGGGAAGCTGCAGACAAGCACATCTGTCCCACCGTGTCCGGGCTCTGCACGCCTCGCCTTTTCTGCCCCCCATGCCCCACCCATCAGCAGGAAAGAACACACACTGCAGGGTGACGCGGTATGTTATCCAAGGACCCAGGTAAAGCCAAGACCCCCTAGTACACTGTAGCTCAACTTTAAACAAATATTGGCAAATGAGCACTCAAGGAAATGCATACAAAAACTTCGTGAAGTGGCCTTAATGACTAGAAGTAGGTAAGAACCTAATCATTTCTATGACGTATTTTCAACAGTGGAATACCACACAGCTATTAAAAGGACAGTGCTGATATGCATGAGGCAAACAACTTTTTTAACTTGCTGGTTAATAAAAAGCAAGGGATAGATGATAAATACAACATCATTTGTGTAAAAACCATCTTTGTGTTCCTATATTTATGGGTGTAAATCTGCTGGAATAGCTTCCTATTGTGGGAGAGCGGTGAAAAAAGGGTGAAGATGTAACTGAAATGCTCTGGAAAAGAACATATTTGTAAATTAAGAACAGAATTCTAATTCAAGAAAGAACAAGTGCCATGTTTCTTATCCCAGGGAGATACCCACTCCTGGCTATTCCCATCTGTCAGAAACTAAAATGCAGACTAAGGATCCCAGAGACAAGGATCCTCGCTCAGTGTCCATGGACAGTACACATCAGGCAAAAACATTTCTGATGCCCCGTGACTCCTGCCCAGTTTCTTGCCTACTTAGTGGCTCAGTTCCTTCCACCGAGTTCCTGAGGCTTTGGGTCTCTTGGCCAAGCCCAGCTTGAGGAGGCTTTCTCTGTAAATCCAATGCAATAATTGACTCTGCCCATGTGCCCATACTGTACTTCAGTTTCCATACTGAGCTGAGGCACCAATCTATCAACAGAGTCACCCTCACCATCTTAGACGCCTCCCCAGTAGTCATGTCATGTCTATGCAGAGGGTAACAGATAAAGCAATGAACTCTACAGTCTTAACCACACTGTCCAGCCCAGTGTCCTAAGCCCCACATACATCGCCAGTCCTCGACAGCCACCTGAATTATTAAAGGTCAACATGGCCTTGAGTCACCTTGAATCATCAGGAGCCAAGATGAAAAAGAGCAGCAGGAAGCACCTAACTCAGGTGTATCACAGGAGGAATCTTCCTCTCTATAAGGCAGACATCTATGAAATCCCTGCACTGTGGTGCTGCGGTAAGGGTTGAATTAATACATACAAGTGACTAGCTGCAGGGCCTGGAAGAGATCGTTCATTAACAAAAAGTGATCACTGCATTAAAATTAGGGCTTCAAGGTAGGAGTTGGCAGCCTTCTATAAATAGCTGTAGCATACAGGCTGTAGTACTTTAACCATCACGAAGCCTCCTACAAGCCAATGTTTTGGCCATGTTCCAATAAAACTTTATTTATATGCCTGCAGTTTGAATAGCATAGGACTTTTACTTCTTTGAATGATTTAAAATTTCATTTCAGGGCTGGGGAACTGGCAGGAAAACTCTTCCAGAGACCCCAAATTAGATTCCCAGCACCTACATCAGGTGGCTCCCACCTGCCCATAACTGCAGCTCCAGCGAAACCTGATACCAGAGGCCTCTCCAGGCACCCTCAACTCTTGTGCACAGACCCAGGCACATAATCCATATAAAAAAAATTCTTACTTTCTTTTCATTTATTATGATATGTGTACGGGTGTTTGGCTGCATGTATGTCTATGTACAGCATGTGTGTCTGGTGCTGGAGAAGGCCAGAGAAGGTAATGGGATCCCCTGGAATTCGGGCTGCAGGTGGTTGTAAGCTGCCATGTGGGTGCTGGGAACTGAATCAGGAACCTCTGGAAAAACAGAGTTCTTCACCACTGAGCCATATCCTAGCCCCTCCAATTATAAATATTTAAAGATAAATTTGGATGACTATTTTAGATTCTCATCAAGAAATAAACCTTAAAAAATAGTTTCAACGATTAAAATATGTATAAACGTATGTTTAACTTTACTTTTGTGGGGAGGGCACTGTGTAATCCCAGCTAGACTCAAATTCACAGGGATCTGCCTCCAGGTGCTGGGACGGAAGCCCGAAACTACAACATCGGGCTAAACAGTATCATTTTCATAGCTCAGTGGCTGCACAAAGCAAGCCTATACCACAGTCCCAGGCTGTAGTTTCCTGGTCCCTGTATTGAAGGAGTTCCTAGACGGACGGACAGATGGACGGACGGACGGACAGGAAAAGAAATGCCAATCTATAATGCAACAAATGCTTCACCCCATGGAGAACTGACTGAAGTCCCAGGCACTGGCCTGCTTCAACAACAAAAGAAGTAGGGACTCACATACATGGGTATTTATTTGCATACACAAAATATGCATTTTGTATAAATATTAATGCCTCTTAGAATTTGTACTAGGGAATGTCCTATGATGTATATAACATCAGTGCAATAGTACATCTATAATTTAGAAAAAGGTGCTCATTAGGGCAGTGTGCAAAATCTTCTCTTCCTCAGTAACAGTGTCAGATCAAAGACCCAAATGTACCACAAGAACCAGAACCAGGGCACATAGCTTTAACAAAGAGCGGACAACAGGAACTACAAGGCGATATCATACAAGGCCAATCAGAGGGTGATAAAAGTAAGCGGCTTTGCTCAAAGGCAAAGTCACAAAAGGCAGTTTCTAATTTGCTTGTTTGTTTTTGAGACAGGGTTTCATGTGAAGCTCTGGCTGACCTAGTATTCACTACATAGACCAGGCTAGCCTAATTCTACCTGCCCAGTGCTGGGATTAAAGGTGTGTGCCACTACACCAGCCTCAAATTTGCTTTTAATATTATATTATTTATTGTTGGGGTATGTGTGCCTGTGTTCAGACCACTGGTCCAGGCTGCATGTAATTCCTCCATCACTCTCCACTTTTGTTTTGAGATAGTCAACTTATCCTCTCACTATATGCAGAGCACACTCATTGGCTAGCCTGGCTGGTGAGCCTCAGGGATCAACCTATCTCAGCTTCCCATCAATGGGGTTATAGGAATTCGCTACCGTATCCAGTTTTTTGGGTTCTTGTCTCACAGTTTGAGGGGTGGGGGCATTTTCAAGACAGGGTTTCTCTGTGTAACAGCCTTGGCTGTCCTGGAACTCACTTTGTAAAGCTTGTTGGCCTCCTAATCACAGAGATCCACCTGCCTCTGCCTCTGCCTCCTGATGGGGAGGTCAGAATGTGTCTGACTTATATCCGGCTTTCTGTGGCTGCTGGGTGTCTGGATTCAGCTCCTCATGCTTGTAGGACAAACACATCACCAACTAAGCCATCTCCCTGGTCCTCATGTCCCAGATTTCATAAGAAGAGTTAAGAAATGAGACAACCCAGGTAATGGTGTAAACACAGACAGAATCTGAGCCTTAAAGGGTCATAATTAAAGATGTGTTTTGTTTTTGGTTGTTTGTTTTTGGTGTTTTGTTGTTGTTGGTTTTTTTTTTTTTTTTTTTTTTTTTTGGTTTTTCGAGACAGGGTTTCTCTGTATTGTTCTGGAGGCTGTCCTGGAACTCACTCTGTAGACCAGGCTGGTATCGAACTCACAGAGATCCACCTGCCTCTGCCTCCCGAGTGCTGGGATTAAAGGTGTGTGCCACCAACCACCGGCTTAAAGACGTGTTTTCTTACCAAGGGAATTAGTGTAATAACTGAGCAAATACAAACAGAGCCTATCAATTAGATAACACAATCATACCATGCTTCATCTCCATCATGTTCCTTTAAAATATGCCATAGGTATTTTAGAATGAAGAAGCATCATGTCCAACTCATTATTCTCACACTATCCAGAAAAACATGGGTGTGCATGTGAGAGAAAAATGCTGTGTGAGACTGTGTGAGAAACAGAAACTGCGTGTGTGCACGTGAGAAAGAAAAAACCATGTGTGCACATGAGAGGAAAAAACTGTGTGTGTGTGTGTGTGTGTGTGTGTGTGTGTGTGTGTGTGTGTGTGTGTTAAGAAAAAGACAGAACAACATGATGAACTCAGTACTGGGAAACCTTGGCATAGAGAGATTCTTTCTCAAGTGTTATAACTTCTCTGGAAAGCTGAAATTATTTCAGAGTTTAAAAACTTAAGGAGACAAGACTAATACCAACAACAAGCTTACAGCCCAATTGCTTTCTGTGTCTATTTTATAAACCATGTCTCCTGATTGTTTAGTCCTGCAAACAGGATAACATTAAGACGGTCTGAATCAGTAAGTGCAAACAAGCGTGGCCGTCTGAATTTGACCCCAAGAACAGATATAAAAATGCTGGGTGTGGCAGGTCCCTGTCTGTTACCCAGCTCAAAGGCAGGTGCCCGAGCTGACCAGATGGAGGAGTTTATTCAGTGTGCTGGGGGCAAATTAGAGACAAATCCTGTCAAGGAGGTGAACAGAGTTCCCAAAGATGAGCCCTAAGTTGTCTCTGGTCTGCACGAGACACACACACACACACACACACACACACACACACACACACACACACACACACACACAAGACAGCGGTGCCTGCTGAATACTTGGTGTCCAGCTTAGCTCTTACATAGCATGTACAATGCTCTGAGTTAGGCCCCAAGAACTGAAAAAAAAAAATGTATCTGTTGTTCCTGACAAAAAAGAATTCACATGCCCCAATCCCATTCATAGGAAACCACTCCACTCTCTACACCACCTAGTAAATATTGCTCTGTAACTCCCCGGGGTCAGAGGACACACCTGGGCGACACATGGTCCTATAAAGATAAAGAATAAGAAGAAAGGGAAGCCATATGGTGAAATCCCTCCGTTTTTCTACCACAGTAATTACTGAATGCAAGCAGAGCCTTTCCAGGGAAAAGAGGCAGTCCCAGATAGAACAAAGACGTGTATCCAGGCCCTGCTGGCCCCAAGAACTTCTCAGCCCTGTACTTGCAGATGCCAGGGCTTTGCCACTGTGCCCATCACTGTAGCCTAGGCCTCTTCAGAGCGCTCCACCCTGTGGGCATAGCACCTCTGAAACGATGCTTCAGTTCATCAGCTAATGTGGCCCCACGGCAGCAGGACATGAGGTCACCCCAACTTCCAACACTGACTAGGCAACTCTCTCATGTTCAGTGCCATGTCATCTGACCCACCAGAGTCCAACAAGAAACCCTTACCAAACTAGATCTGGTAATTGTGTCCCTGATGCCTCCATCATAAACAGATAATAACTGGCTGTAATTAGCAAGCTTCCGCTGCCAAGACAACCGCCTTCCTTATTATTGTCTCCTTTTAAATTTCCTCACCAAAGAACTTGGCCTTCCAGACTGTTAAGTTTTAAACCCTGTACAGTTTGAGATAGAAAAGGTCTACTCAATCAGAGGAATCTATCACCTAATGAAAGCAATTAAAACAGCAATTAGTTCAGAATTCATACTTGCAAAACAAGGAAAGAATTAAATAATAGGGAAATTAAGCAAAGAGAAAATCATATGTATGATTTTTTTTCTCTCAACTGCTCAGTGGTTTAATCAACATGTTAATAGCTGTGTATGGTTGTGTATACCTTTAGTCCCAGCACTTGGAAAGCAGAGGCAGGTGGAGCTTGTGAATTTGGGACCAGCCTGATCCACATAGTGAGATTGTCTCAACAAACAACAACAAAGTGGTAAAATTCCCACTCTGACCAGTGTCTTAAAATTTCATTCTTTCTGATTAGTAACTAGATAGTTCCATGAAAAGTCAGTAACCAACACATAGTAGGACCACAACAAACACTACAGGTAAATGATGTAGGAGGCCCTTTTTCCAAAAATTTCCCACCCTGGGTCAAAGAAGAATTGAAACTTCACCTTTTTTTTTTCTAAAAAAAAAAATTAAGCCTAATAACCAAAATGTTTATAAATCTACAATGTGACTCTCTTTTATAGAAGTCGTGTGTGTGTGTGTGTGTGTGTGTGTGAGAGAGAGACAGAGCGTATGTGTGTGACAGCATGTGTGTGAGCATATGTATGAGCATACTTGTGTGAGCGTGTATGTGTGTGTAAGAGAGAGCCTTTGTGAGTTTGTGTGTACCGCATGCATGCATGAACCCTCAGAGGACAAAATCTCCTGAAAATGAGGTAACAGGCGGTTGTGAGCTACTATGAGTGCTGAAACTGAACCCAGAGTTCTCCAAGAGCAGCAAGTACTCAACTGCTGAGCCATCTCTCCAGCTATTGGGGGGGGGGGGAAGTACAGGGATGTGTGTGCACAGGTGTACACATACACAGTGCCAGAGGAAGGCGTTGGATCCCTTGGAGCTAGAGTTACAAGCATCTGTGAGCTGCCTGACATGGGTCCTGGATCCCAACTCCAATCCTCTGCAAAAGCAGTACACGCTCTTAACCTCCAAGCCATCTCTCCAGTCTTCTACAATGATTCTAACGCTTAGAGATCTGCCACTCACCAGAACATTACAAACCAAGTGGAAAGCCATTGATTATGACTCTGTGTTGACATTGCAAATGACCTCTTAGAAGGATGTTCCACAGGAACACAGTAGACCCGGGGGAGTTGCCTGCACATATGGGGCTGGGTGGGGTTGGACCTGCACCTCCAACAACACTTCTCTACAGGTCCAGATGCTGTGTTGCTGAGGGCTATAAAGACAGAGTTCCAATGCCAGCAGCCTAAGTTTTAAAATGTGATGGTGAGCAAGGCCTAAGTCAGAGCAGGGCTTACACTGAAAAATAATT